AAACAGTTACAGTTATTTCCTCATTATCTACAATAAGCTCTCTTTAAATTTTATTTCCTCTTGCTCATTTTTGTAATATCTGGGGTATAGTGATAGTTTACAAGATTCCCAGTTTGACGGTGCTCATTTCTGTCATTCTAGTCAACCTCAGATATATGAGAGTTGTTTGAGTGGTTTTTTTTTTTGGAGACAGAGTCTCGCTCTGTCACCCAGGCTAGAGTGCAATGGCGTGATCTCAGCTCACTGCAACCTCCACCTCCCGGGTTCAAGTGATTCTCCTGCCTCAGCCTCCTAGGTAGCTGGGACTACAGGCAGGTGCTACCATGCCCAGCTAATGTTCGTATTTTTAGTAGAGGTGGAGGTTTCACCATATTGGCCAGGCTGGTCTTGAACTCCTGACCTCAAGTGATCCGCCCTGTTTGAGTTTTTTTAAAAAGTCATTTGTGGTTGGTTTGGTGGGATAAGAGTTTTGAGTTCTCCAATTTCATGGTTCTTTTGGTTTTTTTTTTTTTTTTTTGCAGGACTCTAAAGTTCCCTTTTTTAGCCTTTAAACAGTACATTCTGGACCTGTAAACAGTACTTTCTTGGTCACAAAAGTGAGGGGGATGGTCAGAATAATCTAAAATTTCTATTGTATTAAAAGTAATGTTGCTGAAGGGCTGGGCACAGTGGCTCATGCCTGTAATACCCGCCCTTTGGGGCAAGACGGGCAGATCACTTAAGGTGAGGAGTTCGAGACTAGCCCGGTCAAAACGGTGAAACCCCATCTCTACTAAAAATATAAAAAATTACCCAGGCATGGTGGCACATGCCGGTAATCCCAGCTTCTTGGGAGGCTGAGGCAGAAGAATCGCTTGAGCCCAGGAGGCAGAAGTTGCAGTGAGCAGAGATTGAGCCACTGCACTCTAGCCTGGGCGATAGAGTGAGTGAGACTCTGTCTAAAAAAAAAAAAAAAGGAATGCTGCTGAAGCTTTTGGAATGACAAGTAAGTTTTAGCAGCACCCATGTATTAACAATTCTCTCTCCGGCCGGGCGCGGTGGCTCAAGCCTGTAATCCCAGCACTTTGGGAGGCCGACACGGGTGGATCACGAGGTCAGGAGATCGAGACCACCCTGGCTAACACGGTGAAACCCCGTCTCTACTAAAAAATACAAAAAACTAGCCGGGCGAGATGGTGGGCGCCTGTAGTCCCAGCTATTCGGGAGGCTGAGGCAGGAGAATGGCGTAAACCCCGGAGGCGGAGCTTGCAGTGAGCTGAGATCCGGCCACTGCACTCCAGCCCGGGCGACACAGCGAGACTCCGTCTCAAAAAAAAAAAAAAAAAAAAAAAAAACAATTCTCTCTCCTATTCTTAGGAATTAAAACCTTCCAACTAAGTAGTCAAAAAAAATTTCAAAACTGCTGAACCTATACTATAGATTAAGGGAACAACAAGTATCAAGGAAGAATCAATATCTACCAACTACCCTTTGTCTCTCACATGCATAAAATGAGCTCTATCATTCGATGTAGGAAAGAAAAAGTACCAGAAATTTATTTTATGTCATAATAAAGAGATGATGTACTTATGTTTTATTTTTATAATAGAATAATGTTAAATTACTGGTGAGGAGAAGGAAGGTTCAGAGAACAATAAAGCATAAAAACACAAATTTAGGCTTTTGCCACAAGTCTTAATTTTTTTTTGGCAGGACCATTAAGGTTAACAATGGTCATGTATTAAATATACTAGCTTCACAGTATATCAAAATAACCCCAGTTGAAGAATACTGTACTGATTTACATTAGATTATATATAATTTTACCCACAAATCCTGTTTGGAGGGACTAGAAGATAACCAGAGAGATCTAGTTGACCTAGTAGTGCAAAGTAGTCATGAGAAGCAATGTTTAAGTAGTCTTAAAATTACTATTTAACATGGCTTAACAAAATTTACTATAAATCAATTAATGTGTTAACTATAGCAAAAAGAGTCTGCTTTAATATGATTATCATCAACGTTCTTTTTTCAGTCTATCTCAGAAATCACTTCCTGAGTCTTCTGAAAGTTTCATTTATTCCACTCATTCTACAAATATTTGTTAGTGTTAGCTAAAGGATTATGGACTCCACTTAGGTCCTCTTGTATGCTCATGTTATATCTGCCACACTCACTGCTATATACCAATTCCTAGAACAGTGAGTGCGGCAGATATAACTTAAGGAACTTTCAAGTGTAGCTAAGAAGACAGAAAATTAAACACGTATATTACAGATGTGATGAGCATTTCATTAGGGAAGCATGGGGTGCTACATAAGCATACAAGAGGACCTAAATGGAGTCCGTAATCCTTTAGCTAACACTTGCAGGATGAGTAGAAGTCAGCAGGGTCAGGAGATAAGCAAGAATGACTGTTCTGGGCAAAAGCCTGGAGTGAGAGAACACATTCCAGGAACTGAAACACAGTGCAGTGTGGCTGTTAACACTGCAGAGAGAAAGTTGAAAAAAATCAGCAAGGTCAGCCAGGCACGGTGGCTCACGTCTGTAATCCCAACACTTTGGGAGGCCAAGGTGGGCAGATCACGTGAGGTTGCGAGTTTGAGACCAGCCTGACCAACATGGAGAAACCCCATCCCTACTAAAAATACAAAATTAGCCAGGCATGGTGGCACATGCCTGTAATCCCAGCTACTTGGGAGGCTGAGGCAGGAGAATCACTTGAACCCAGGAGGCGGAGGCTGCCATGAGTGGAGATCGGGCCATTGCACTCAGGCCTGGGCAACAAGAGCAAAACTCTATCTCAAAAACAAACAAAATGAAAACAGCAATGTCCATTCCTTAGAGGCCTTTGTGAGCCACTACAGACTCAGGACTTCAGCCTAAGGGACATCAAAAGGTTTTAGGCAAGGGAGTAACAATCAGATGTGCATTTTAGACAAATACAACTAATCAATCAACAATAGTTACAGAGCACCAATTGGAGTAAGGCAGTATAGTGGCTCTGAGAACAATACATAGATGGGAGTTTGGACTCTCATTGAGCCTTCAAGGACTTTAGAAATGGCAGAGTTTAAGGCAGTACAAATGTACCTGTTTCCTAAGGGAAAGCTGGGTTGTGGTAATCTGGAAACGAATCTTTAGGTTTTTTTTTTTTTTTTTTTTTTTTTTTTTTTTTTTTGAGACGGAGTCTCACGCTGTTGCCAGGCTGGAGTCAGTGGCGCATCTCGGCTCACTGCAAGCTCCGCCTCCTGGTTCCACCATTCTCCTGCCTCAGCCTCCTGAGTAGCTAGGACTACAGGCGCCCCCCCGCCCGGCTATTTTTGTATTTTAGTAGAGACGGGTTCACTGTGGTCTCGATCTCCTGACTTGTGATCCGCCGCTCGGCCTCCAAAGTGCTGGATACAGCTGAGCCACCGCGCCCGGCCTAGGAATCTTTAGGTTTTTAAAGAAGTTGGTATGGGCCAGGTGTGGTGGGGCTCAGGCATGTAATCCTAGCACTTTGGGAGGCCGAGGTGGGCGGATCACTTGAGGTCAGGAGTTGAAACCAGCCTGGCCATCACGGTGAAACCAGTCTCTACTAAAAATGCAAAAAAGTTAGCCAGCCCAGGTGGCGGGCGCCTGTAATTCCAGCTACTCCGGAGGCTCAGGCAGGAGAATCACTTGAACCCAGAGGCAGAGGTTGCAATGAGCAGAGATCACGCCACTGCACTCCACCCTGGGCAACAGAGTGAGACTCCATCTCAAAAAATAACATAACATAACATAACTTAACATAACATAACAAAACATAACATAAGTGGTATGTTTCAGATGGGAGAGAGGCCACATGCATCCTGAGCCATCTGAAAGTGGTTGAAAATAAATCTGGAAAGGCAGATTTGGGATACATGTGGAAGGCTTCAAATGTCTAGCTAAGGAGTTTGAAATTTTTCCATATAGGAGGTGTAGGGCCATAGACCATTTTTAAGCAAAATACATGCTCAGGCGATAGCATGATGGATAAATCAGTGGGAGAAACGACTGTACTTAGCAAAGACAGTTAAGAACCTTGCATAGCGCTCCAGGTGTTGCTGCTGTAAAAGTTAGCAGTAGGGACCAGGGGAACAGATTTGGCAGTTATTATGAAAGAAAACCCAAGTAGAGTTGAAATGACTGCCTGAATATTTGAGGGGGATAATATCAGAGGATCAAGAACGACAGAACATAGCTGAGGTGGTATGAAATAAGTGGACTATAAACTGGAAATTATAAATTTCACTATTACATGCACAATTTCTCTATATTATCATACAACAGTGCCTCTCAAAGAGTGGTAGGCAGACCAGAATTCATCTACGACCTATTTGTTAACCAATCTGTACAGAAAATGCGATTAAGCATTTAGAAACTTCCATTATCAGTTGACAGTATTTTTATGTCTGTTGAATTTAATTAAAAATTTGAACTTACATTGTGTTTGTCTTTTTTAATTCCATTTTTCTAGCAATTTTGTAGTATTTTATCAAAGTATAAATCTGTCAAAAATTTAAAATTTTTAAAAACAAAAACTGTCCTTTACCACAAATAGTTTGAGAAACACTATCAGAGTATTTAGCTTGCCCCCCAGATCTAAGTAGATTAACTCTACCTCTATAAATACACATTCAAGAATATTAAAAAATAAACACAAGTTTGAATATGGACTGAATATTACAGATTATGCATTTATGGTTAATTTTCTCAGGTATAATAATACCACGATAATTATGTAGGAGAATGATACTTTTAGAAGCTATATGCTTATGTATTTAAGGGTAAATCATCATGTCTAACTTACTGAATGGGGGATAGCAAAATGAAAAAACACACAGCAGGCATCCCATACACACGGCTAAAGTAAATACGGTCAAATGTTAAGAACAGCTGAATTTAGGGGGTGCGTATACAGATAACAATCAACACTGTACTTTCAACTTTTCAAAACATAATGTTGAAAAAATGTTTAAATAAATACGTCATAAAAACCAAGTCCTCCATACCCCAAAGTCACCAGGTCAGTATTCTCCGGAATGACTTCAGGATCCTCACCGTCCTCAAGGCATTTCAGTTTATCAAGGCTAAAACAAAAAGGAAAAGCAATACTTTAAGGTCGACTCTGCATCTGGTTCACAGCGAGTTAGGGTTGTTTTCCTAAATACATTACTGAATTACGAAGTCAGATAAAATCCAGCAGGCGGCTCAGAGAGACCAGAACTTAAGACAAAGATTTCTGTGGTTATATTTTATAATGAAAAGGCCGATGAAGGCAGCCAGTACTGTTAAATGGAGAAAGAGATTAAACTTATTTTTATATTTTCATCCCCAAATAAGGCACTTTTAGGAAAAATTTCAGTACCAGAATACCCGGAAGGTCCCCAAAAGAAACCAGTTAGTCGGGGTTTTAACACTCCTTTGATGAAGTCTCCCGCAGGTTCACCATTACTCAGATTCCTCCACTGTCAAAGTGTCTGTCAATGGCAGGTACACCTCGCTGTTGCCCTGACTGCTATTCTTTATTAACAAGCACTTTTAGAACAAGCAAATAGAAAAACTAGTCTTTGATGCAGCTGTCTTGGCCCTTTGCTCCAACTCGCGGAAACTGGGCATTCGGGTCCCAGGACTTCTCCTGGTGTTCCAGGGAGGCTCCAGCGGGTTGAAAGCAGGTCCAAACCACAGGCCTTCTCAGGGATGAGTCCCAGAGGAGCGCAAAAGCAAGGACGCACCCTGTTTGACCCCAAGCTGCAAGAGCCCCTTTGCTCCGCACTCACCCGCACACCGCCCTCAGTTCAGCCGCCGCCTCCAGGCTGCAGTCGAGATCCCTGGCCACCGCGGCATCCTCCCGGTCGGAGTCCGCAATCCCCCGGCTCCCAGGCAGAGCGGACGCCGGCGGCTCCCTCAGCGACAAGTCCCCGGCCCCGCGCAGACGGCCCCGCCACAGCTCCCCAAAGGCGCCCACATGGAAAGCGCGCGTATTTAGCTCGGGAAGCTCATACTCTGGAAAGTTGCAGCCGCCACTGCCGGAGACTGGGTCCTGCCTGCCAGCCACCCCACTACACGTTGGTACACCTCGGCTTCCTTCAGCCATGTTCGCCCCACTCCCTTCCCTGCAAAAGCCTGGAGATCAAGGCCTCGCAGAGCGTGATGGAACTTGTAGTTGCTTGGAGCTCCCGGCCGGCGAGCCACGGGGCGGCAAGGGCTGGGCTTCGGAAACTACATTTCCCGGCAGGCCCCCCCTAGGGCGCGGCACCGCGAGGCTCTACGGGCAGGGTGCAGCATTGTTCTCCTACCTGGGCGGGGCGGGAACCGTTGCGGCTGTCGGTTAACCGCAGCGGGTGAGGCTGGGTGTCTGGTCCCCGAGTTACAAAGCAACTGCCTCTGCTGGGTAGGGCGGCCTCGCCAGGCGCTTAGGCCCCGCTCCTTGCGGCTCTCGGACCAAGGGGTGCAGGGCTTTTTCTTGACTCTGGATTTCAAGGACTGCTCTGTTGCCTGCTTGCTTTAGAGTCTAAGAAACAAGGAGGGCGAGGGCCGAGACCAGGGACACGATCAGTCCTCCAGATCTGGTTCTTTCAGAACCTCCCCAGAGGCGCCATGTGCGTGTGTGTGTGTGTGCAGTAGTGTTTCAGAGCGTCTGTGTATCACACACTGCACATGATTAACCCTGGTGTATGTTTTTAATGTTTTTTAAAATTACAATGACCTTTCCGGATAGAGAGTATCACCCCGTGATGCTGTTAAGGAAGGAGTTACCTGCGGGGAAAATGGAAGCAGGATCGGAACTCAATCAGTCTGGCTTCAGATGGAGCCCTCTCCATTTCTCAGAGGCCCTAAAGGATATAGCAGGACATACTATTTATTTATTAGGCTGTAATCACATGCCGTATAATACACCCATTTGAAGTGTTCAATGCTTTTTAGTATATTAACAGACTTGGGCAACCATCACCACTATTTGAAAACATCTTTTACCACTCCAAAGAAGAAACTTGTATCTTTTAGCTATCACCCCTGATCCTCCCACCTCCTCCAGCCCTAGCCAACCAAGAACCTACTTTCTGTCTCTCTAGATTTAACTAATCTGGACATTTAATATAAATGGAATTATATGGTCTTTTGGTGGCTGGCTTAATATTTGCAAGGTTTGTTACAGGTAGTTAGGCATGAGCAGGGCAGGAGAGGGCTCTTCCCTCACCCACTAGGAATGCATATTGCCTCTAATAGTGATAAATTGGCAGCCGGTGCCGGGGAGAGGCCATTTCCTGATGGCCCACACCTGTTGCACTAAAGTGTTAGTTGAATGCAGATGACAGGGAGAAGCAACTTCTTGGGCATATGCATTAAGAGACAAAATCGGGGAGTATGACCTTCCAAGAGGACTCTATCGGAAAAGGCAAGAAAGCCTCAGATGGGCATTCGTGCAACTGCCTACATACTGCGCTGTGCTCACTTCCCAATGATAAGGAGGGCACTGCGCATGCAGGCAGCCCACCCTAAGGGAAGAATCATGGGAAAGGAGCCAGCCTATAAAGTCCTAGGATCAAGGTCAATATCACAGTTGAACTCAGTGATGGCTTGGGACTCTTCCGAGCGTGCTTTCCTTTCTTTCCTATTCTAAAGGCCTTTTAAATAAACTTCCACTCCTGCTCTGAAACTTGCCTCAGTCTCTTTTTCTGCCTTATTGCTCCTCAGTTAAATTCTTTCTTCTGAACTCCCGACCTTGTGATCCGCCTGCCTCAGCCTCCCAAAGTGCTGGGATTACCGGCGTGAGCCACCGCGCCCGGCCTTCTGGTTGTTTTGTTGTTGTTGTTTGTTTGAGATAGCGTCTTGCTCTGTCACCGAGACTGGAGTGCACTGGCACAATCATGGCTCACCGAAGCGTGTCAAGCTAAGTCATTATATCCCCTGTGACCTGCATGTATACATCCAGATAGCCTGAAGCAACTGAAGAACCACAAAAGATGACATTCCACCATTGTGATCTGTTCCTGCCCCACCCTAGCTGATCAACTGACCTTATGACAATACACCTTCCCCGCCCTTGTGATAACATACTTTGTAATATTCTCCCCACCTTTGAAAATGTACTTTGTGAGACCCACCCCCTCCCCACAAAAAATTGCTCCTAACTCCACCGCTTATCCCAAACATATAAGAACTAATGATAGGCTGGGCGCTGTGGCTCACGCCTGTAATCCCAGCGCTTTGGGAGGCTGAAGCAGGCGGATCACAAGGTCGGGACTTCGAGACCAGCCTGGCCAATATGGTGAAACCCCATCTCTACTGAAAATACAAAAATTAGCTGGGTGTGGTGGCAGATGCCTGTAGTCCCAGCTACTTGGGAGGCTGAGGCAGTAGAATCGCTTGAACCCGGGAGGCAGAGGTTGCAGTGAGCTGAGATTGTGCCATTGCACTCTAGCCTGGGCGACAGAGTGAGACTCTGTCTCAAAAAACAAAAAAAGAAAACAGCTAATGATAATCCCACCACCCTTTGCTGACTCTCTTTTCAGATTCAGCCCACCTGCACCCAGGTGATTAAAAAGTTTTATTGCTCACACAAAACCTGTTTGGTGGTCTCTTCACACAGACGAACGTGACACAGCATAGACCTCCCAAGCTCAGGTGATCCTCCCATCTCAATCTCCTGAGTAGTTGGGACTACAGGTACACTGCCACCACATCCAGCTAATTTTTTTATTTTTTGTAGAGAAGAGGTTTCGCCATATTGCCCAGGCTGGTCTTGAACTCCTGGGTTCAAGTTATCCTCCTGCCTTGGCCTCCCAAATTGTTGGGATTACAGGCATGAGCCACCACGCCCAGCTGGAGCTCTGGTTTTTTATCAGTATATCATTGTAGGGAATATCTGTTGTTTTTGTCAGCCTAGTATTGTTTAATAGAACTGACCTTCCCTACTACTTTTGATCCTCCTGTGGCTGCCAGTCACAGAACCATTCCCAGTCTGGCCATAGTGGTTAGTCCAAGGATGAGCGAGTGTCTCAAATAGAGCCAATCAGAATTCTGTGGGGTTTTATCTATAAACCAAGAAGCTCTTTATCTGTTCTAAGGACTTAATAATGTGTCCTAGACACAGACTGTTCCTGCCAGTGGAAGAGTCAGAAGGAACAGAGGCAAGAGTTTGAAAAAGCAAAGGCAGAAAATGGAGAAGAGAGAAGTCCAGTGACTTGGAGGTATTGGGGCTGAGGCCATGTGCTTCCTTATATTTGCCATTAGGTAAAAGAGGCAAAATTTTACCTCTACTCTGTTAGGATTTTTCAGCTGGGCCTGAGAATTAAATTGACATAAGACAGAGCAACAGGAGAAAAACGTACAAATTAATTTCATACAAGTGTTATGTGGCATACGATCCTTCATAAGGAAATGAAGACCCAAAGAAGCAGTTACAATTGAACACTTATAAACTGAATTGGATAAAGAGTAGTGAATTATGAAAATGTGACAAGGCGAAGTGTCATGCACATCTGTGTGAAGAGACCACCAAACAGGCTTTGTGTTAGCAACATGGCTGTTTATTTCACCTGGGTGTAGGCGGGCTGAGTCCGAAAAGAGAGTCAGCAAAGGGAGATAAGGGTGGGGCCGTTTTATAGGATTTGGGTAGGTAATGGAAAATTACAGTCAAAGGGAGGTTGTTCTCTGGCGGGCAGGAGTGGGCACAAGGTGCTCAGTGGGGGAGCTTTTTGAGACAGGATGAGCCAGGCACAAGATATTGTCATCGCTTATGGCAAGGACTGGCCATTTTCACTTCTTTTGTGGTGGAATGTCATCAGTTAAGGTGGGGCAGGGCATTTGCACTTGTTTTGTGATTCTTCAGTTACTTCAGGTCATCTGGGTGTATATGTGCAAGTCACAGGGGACGCGATGACTTGGCTTGGACTCGGAGGCCTGACACAAAGCACACGAGGATAGGGTAGTTAATTGAGTGGAGGAGTGACTAGGAAGATAAGAGTTAGTTTAACAAGGTTGGTTTGTACAGATTTCCCTCAGCCTCAACTTCCTGTCCTTGATGAGAAGAATGATGTTTTCCTTCTGGGTATAGGGAGGACACCTTTTACATGGGAATTTCATCTCCTGCTTTTAAGAAACAGAAGAAAAGTCAGAGTGAACTCTTTGCACCTGCCGTTTTCCAAGTGATACGGCTCAGATGAGTGGAGGAACACCGGGGTTGTTGGTCCTCATGCCGGTTTAGATAAAACAACATGGACACAAGTGGAGTGGTTTTAAGGAGCGGAGAGTTTATTAGGCAAGAAGGAAGGGAGGAGATAGAGGGAAGAAGCTCCCCAGTAGAGAGACAGAGGGAGGCTGGCTCCAAAGCCGAAAGAGGAGGTCCCCACCTGCCACGGATACCAGCCAGGTATATATGCAGAGGCTGGAGAAGGCGATATCTGATTTGCATAGGGCTCAGGGGATTGGTTTGACCAGGCATGTCATTCATGTAGCCCTCGGAAAAAGCTGGCCCTCTCATCCTAGCCTTTTAATATGCAAATACAGGGCACTCTGGATGTTCTACACATGTGGAGATATGTGGGGAGGCCATGTTGCCAGGAACATGTGGGGCAAGGGCAAGAAGTCCGCAGGAATTGCTATATTAGGTGGACCCAGTTTCTAACGGCCTGCATTTGCATATCAAAGGTTGCCAGCCTGGCTCTAAGAGCCCGAGCTTTACAAGAAACTTTTCCAGAGAGGCTTTAAAAACCACAAACTCCCCAGGGACCCCTTCCCCCCCCCACCCCCGCCTAAAATAATTTCTTAATAACTCTTGGCCGGGCGTGGTGGCTCACGCCTGTAATCCCAGCACTTTGGGAGGCCAAGGTGGGTGGATCACAAGGTCAGGGGTTCAAGACCAGCCTGACCAACTTAGTGAAACCCCGTCTCTACTAAAAATACAAAAATTAGCTGGGCGTGGTGGCGGGCGCCTGTAATCCCAGCTACTCAGGAGGCTGAGGCAGGAGAATTGCTTGAACCAGGGAGGCCGAGGTTGCAGTGTGCCACTGCACTCCAGCCTGGGTGACAAAGCGAGACTCTGTCTCAAAAAAGAAAACAAACAAACAAAAAACTCCTACCACACAAGTGCCTTTAACTCAAAATAGTATGCCACTACTTTGGGGTGGTATATTCTTAACTCCTTCACTAGTAACTTTTTATGTTTTTATTTATTTATTTTTGAGATGGAGTCTTGCTCTGTCGCCCAGGCTGGAGTGCTGTGGCGCAATCTCGGCTCACTGCAAGCTCCGCCTCCCGGGTTCACTCCATTCTCCTGCCTCAGCCTCCCAAGAAGCTGGGACTACAGGCGCCCACCACCACGCCTGGCTAATTTTTTGTATTTTTTAGTAGAGACGGGGTTTCACTGTGTTAGCCAGGATGGTCTTGAGCTCCTGACCTCGTGATTCACCCGCCTCGGCCTCCCAAAGTGCTGGGATTACGTTCCCGGCCTTTTTGTGTTAATCTTAAACTAGTTTGAGTTGGATTCTCTTGCAACCTAAAGTCTTCTGAGGTCCTGAAATACTTGACCCAAATTCCTCAACAGGGGGTGCCCTCACTTGAGAGAATGAGGTCATGTTTCAGGTAGAACTGGTCTAACATATTATCTAGAGATTTAGTAGCATTGGCTTCAGGACTGGTGACCACACAGGTTCCCGGGCAGCA